TCGAGTCTAGTAAGGATCTTGATATATCTTAAAATAAGAAATCGAAGCCCAGATAATGTCAAATTATGAGACCAGTTTGGAGGTGGACCCGGGCGGCCGACCCTACGGACGAGCTAACCAGAATACTCAATCTTTCTCTCCGTCACTTTCGTACATCGGAACTTCGGGAGCCACAAAACTCTGGTTTCGTAAACATAGGACATACTTGGGACTGATTAAGAGGTAGAAATTTTGGACAAAGTTCCCCTCTTTCTTTCACTATAACTTCTCTCACGGGAGGCATGTGTAAAGTTGTTTCCGTAGCTTGGGATAACAGTATAGCTTGACGTCAAAATATATGCGTTCATACACCACGGTGAGTCTCTCTCTCTGCAACTCACTTTTGTGCAGTTAGCTGTAAAAACCGGTCGGGACAACCATTGCCCCATAAACTGTTAGGGCTGAAGAGAAGTTTGATGGACGGGATATCGGGATATCTCGCCATGAAAATGATGAAACATGCCTCTTCTCATAGTTGGAAGGAAGAAACTAAATACTCATGTGAGCTTTCTATAAGCAGGTCCTGTCAGTGAAGCCAGTCTAGGCTAAAAGGCCGAGAAGCAGTAAACAGCTGTTTGAAAGTATCAGAAAGGTCAGATTCCTGAAAGCAACTTCAGAACGCCCGGAACCTACTGCTCTACCAAAAACTCAGCAGGAAATCCGGCAAGCATCCAGGCCAGTCAATCATTCAATCAATTCAGCAAATGCTGATGAGTGTTCATGCACGCCACAGAAGCACGACCGATTAGCGTTCAGGCTTTTTCACAGAGCCACGATCGATGTTGATGGGTGTTCACTAACGCCTATCAGACAGCCTGGATCAATGTCAGAATGTCCCCCTTAAATAGCTTGCTCTCGCACTCGCACGCACTCACGCTCTCGCATCCGCTTTGTTGGAATATAGCTATTGTGTTCCCTTCTGTGAGTCTTTTTTCTCCGGCACTCGGCACTGGAGCGGGTCAGCAGCAGATACCTCAGACTGACAAATCAGCAGATATAACAGAAATCATCAGCACAGTGTACCTCAAGAACATCCGAAGACCTTCAGCTCAGCCGTTGAGCACCTAAACTTTTGGCCACGGGCGGCTGACCATCATTTTTTAGCTCCACTTATTCTTCAATCGTGATCCCGTATTGAAGGATTTAGTGTGACCTCCGTGATTTGAGGATGACACATCCCGCCTAAGCACGAATTAGGCGTAATGCTCGTGGCCGAACGGTTGTGTTCGAACTACAAGTCAGGAGATCGCGGGTTCGTGGCTTCCTCGAATTTCGTGAGATGCGCACTGCTATGATGAAGCATCTGCTTATCGGCTTTCACTTGTAGGACAAAATCCTGGTTGAAACTAATTGAACCTTCTCACACTATCATCAAACACCTCGATGAGCGGTAGATTTCTTTTACATTCCTGTTCAACTGCCGGCTTCATAGAAGAATGAACTTGGTTAAACATTTGTGGCATGGCGCCTTGACCTTTTTCCAAGTCAATAGCTACAGACCTGAGGCCAAAGTTTAACGGTGCTGTTGAAACTTGGTTCTGCTTCGCTGTCACCCCTTTCACAAATATGTTAGAAAACAGTGGATGAAGAAGTGATCTCATGAAAACGACACCTGTTTGGCAATGCATTACACAAGATTGTAAAACTTTGAAAAATGAAGTTACCGTCGGTTTGACAATGGGGCACACGTACCAGTGTGGCGTGTCCGAAGTAAGTAGTCAGCAGAGGTACAGACGTTAAAAACCAAACGCCCTNTTGAGGCAAGGTTGATGTGTCGCAGTGGGCTCGTGCCGTTCATTACTTTGACAGTTGAAATTCTCCATGTTATGTCTGTCCCTGTTTGTAACCCCTGCTCCATTTTCGTGTCTACTGCATGCGTACGAACTGGCGTGTGTTTGTCCTTACCACTTCACTTTTTGACTTTGAGGTCATCCAGCCATTTTGTGCCTGGCCTTATGCACGTGACTGTCTCACGTGGAAGCATGTTTGCTCACTTGATAGACCAAGTGGACAGGGATCCACTGTCGAGGCTTGTATATTTTGTGAGTTTGTGTGTGTCTTACGTTAATAGTATCGTACTCGGAAATACCGTCTGCCCATTACAGGGCTAATATGCCTAGTATGTTATGTTTGAATATTTTGGTGCTATACAGAATCAAGTCCAGCTTACGAACAGTTTTGGAGGTCCTCTTTCCCTATTGTTCTTTGGCTACCAGAAGCCTCCTGATGTCCTCTCGTCAGCAGACCCGCATCTCGTAAGTTCTGCTGTTAACAAAAACGGTGCGTACTTGACTTCACAGGCCGTATCGGAATACACAAATCGCTCCCATGTGGAGATTTCATCCTGTAAGTGAAACCAATCTATGCTGAAAAGCCAAGAAGCACTGTACAGGTGTTTCATCATCAGCAGTGCTCAGTAAGTGAAGCCAATAAAGATCAGTGGAAAAATAAAATTCACCCGATGAGTGAAGCTCCCACCTGAGGAAATGTTGCTCTAGATCGCATGATGTGGACCCCCTGATTGAACGATGAGCGGCGCTACATCCTGTCGAAGTGCGGGTTAATCACACTGCTGATCAGTGTTCAAAGCCAGGAGGTCACCGGTTCGATGCTGATGATTCCCAGTGAGGATGAAACAGCTGTACAGTGCTTCTCGGCTTTTAAGCAGAACGAACTCTCCGGAAAAATAGGGGTTCTGTAGCTGACTTCTGAAGACATCCTTCAGTCAATGTTATTTCCACAGAATCAGATCGATAATATCTCTTGGCCATCCAGATTACGAAGGGCTCCTGATCAGTGTTTTATGATTGCGGAATCCTTTATCTTTCAAGAATGATGAACCGCACACTGAAAACCGAGTCCGACTTTCGGAAAGTATTCAAAACGCAACATATTGATCTGTTTGCATTTACAAAACTAGTGTGTTCAAGAAAGTCTTTTTGTCCAGGATGTACCACACAACAGTGATGTGCATGCTGTAAGTTAGATGCGTTGAGTATGTAGGGGGCAGCGGGAGATACATGACCTCCCTGGAACATATACTCCTAAGAGGGAACGGGTTTTAGGGGTCTTATTTCAAAGGAAGAGAGTAAGAAAGACGATAGGAGGCATTACACAGTCAAGCCATAGATTCGGGTTAGCGGCTCGCACACTCGTTTAATCAGACACCGTTCCTCTCATCCCCATTCAAGGCCAACCTTTGGAGCATACGACGTTGGTTAATAAAAGGAACAGTCCACAAACCTGGTAGATCGCCATGTAGAAGTGATTTGAAGGATGCTGAATGCCACTAGTACTTGTTTCATTCAGGACAGCATTTCTGGTTGCGATAATAATGAAATGATTCCCACTCAGCTGAAATCCCCTTTTCGGTGACTAGCTATCACTTTATCCGAAGGCTGAGATAATGCCGGGTTGCTCAAACTCAAACAGGAGCGGTTGAAATGTCGGATCTGGGTTCGAACCATGAACCTTCCTGTCAGTAAGTTCGCGCATTAAACAAACAGCCATTCCGAGCTGGGCGAGATTGGACAAGATGACTCAAGTAGTTAGAGAGGTCCGCGTTCGAACCCGACCTCTGCCACTCGACTTCCCCTGTCTAGGCTTGGGCAACGTGGAAGTATCCCGGCATGGTAGTTAGGCACCGGAAGGGTACTAATGGTAGTTAAGCACCGGAAGGGTACTACAGCTGAACAATGCTGGGCCGCAACATCGGGAGCTATTACACATCCCATGGGCACTGGTCTGGTGTAAATGAGAGGAAAATAACGAAGAAAAAGAGGGAGAATCCATATACCTACTTCGCATATAGCTTCGTCTACCTCATTGGATATGTGTAACTTCGTCCTTGGAGATCCATGTGTGCGGTGTAAACAAACCGGGATGGTTCAAGTCTGTTTACTGCCAGCAAGCATGTGCCGTTATGAAAGCACACTCATCTGTCAGCGAGCATCCTAATGTATACAGCCACGACCCCGGTGTTTATCGCAAGTTTGTTTACCTCAGGTAGGCATCGATAAGCTTGCTGTCTCAGTACGGTGCAAACCGTTCAGTAGTACCTGACCTCATTCGTAAATGCGTTAAAACAACCCTACCCGTTGTGTCTGAAAATGGGCTGAGCCTACATCAATCCCCTGTTTCCGCTTTAGCTCATCTAACACATTTGATGCTGGGAAGACAGAATCTCACTTGTGCCCACGTGAAGCAGGTCCACATTTGAGTTTTACATTTCACCCGCCTGATGCCCAAAACTCCATCCTTGTTGAACTCCAAACGTTTCGCGGTCGGCGGACTGTTAACTCCGAAACAAACAATGGTTGCTCAGGCCTGCCGGGCTCCCACCATCTACTCTTGCTAGATGCCACCGATCAAAGTTAAAGGACACCGGGTTAGCCGGTACGCTAGACAGAACTCCTCTCCACAAAACCAGTCAACGTGTGCGGCGAACGTCTGGCCAAGTGGATCGACAGTTTACTGAACCTACGCGCATGCCTTGTCCTGGCAAGAAGGGCATAGATGAGGCAACCACCTCGGATAACGTCGTCTGCGAAACTGTACATCGTACGTGCGCCACTGATGTCCCAATTTGTTGATTTGCATTTCAGCTCCATGCCATGAATGAACGAGGATCGTACTCCACACCCTAATTCTTCTTGGAGAGTTTTTTGTTCTGAAATGCATTCTTAAGGGAGCGGATAGTGTGCTCATCTTTAGAACGCCGAGAAAGCGATCTATGGTGGCCCCAGAGTAAAACCGGCAGTGTGAAAAATACGCGCACCGTAAGGAGGGTGGCTGAAGATCAACTTTGATCCGTTATGCGTTCACAAAACCGTCACAAAGTACTGGAAAATCGGGATGTTATCTTTAACGAGGCATCCCATCGATTTTGGGTGTAACATATTACTTGGGCTCATTGCTTACTGCAGGCCCTAGTCTACTGTGGTACAATACTACTTATAAGACTAGTCATCATCATCATCATCATCATCATCATTGTCAGCTGTAATAACCGCGTATTCNTGGTGTCGTGTGGTGTGGGGGGGGGGGGGGGGGGGGGGGTAGGTAGCTGCGCATTGAAGGCGGGAGCTGATAAATTGGTGCGTGAATACAGAACTGTCAGTGGGCTGTCAAGTTGGGGGATTGGGAAGGGAGCTTGGATGCACGTGCGTTATTGAGGGCGAGACTGGGTCATGTCTGACAATGTCTCTATCCATTGATATGGCCCGTCTCGGGGCCCCCATCCGGAAAGACAGCAGTGACCAGCGCAGCTTAGTTTGCTGGAAATGGCTTTCATACTTCACTCCCAAGTCATTGTTTGATCGTCTCTGGCTCTCTTCCACCCTTCCTGTGGTTGTGCAAAAAAAGCCCCTCGAGGAAGTCGGTCGATACTTACGGGCGACAGAACGATAGAGAACGCTCGGCTGCATACTGAACATGCCTCACTTGCGAATGTATAGCATGCCATGTTGTACGCTGAAGGCGCTGGCCGAGCACGAGTGGCGACTCAAAGATGCGCTGCATTCAGAGTGATTTACTGGGAGCTCTATTTTCCATCCACACATCATTAGCACCAGCCGGTTCACACAGGCCACGGTACACCGAAGACGGTGTTTTTGAAAAAGGGGACACCGTAGTATACGGTCTGCCAGTATTGGGGATGTATAACCTTGCTTACTGGGATTCGGCTCTTGAGCTTCCTTTGTCCTCCGTCCACAGAAATTTCGGTGAACACCATGCTTTCGGAGAGTCACTGTTCCTCGGTGCTTCCATAGCGTGCATACTACAGTATTACCTGAAGGTTTACCCCTCATGATACCAATTACTTTTTCCTGACACCGAGTTGTGGAAAACCCTGAAATCCTGGAAACATCACAAACGAGAGATTCAGCTGGGTTCCAGGTGGGTCTCTCGAAAAGCCAAATTAGTTTGCAAATGAGTGTATATTCGCTAATTTCGTGCAATTTGGTTTCAAGTAGAACATAAGGTTGACAAAAACCCGGGGACTGCGCTTACCTGATGAGCCCCAAAAAACGGCGAAACCGGTCGTGGGCTGTCGACGAATTTTCAGCAACCTTATGAGTAGTACATTACAAAGATATACATGTATCGCGGCATCTCGAATATCGTGACGACTGAAACATGAGGCGGCCTGGTGCAGCACATTCGGTTGCCGGGAAACATCACAAACGAGAGATTCAGCTGGGTTCCAGGTGGGTCTCTCGAAAAGCCAAATTAGTTTGCAAATGAGTGTATATTCGCTAATTTCGTGCAATTTGGTTTCAAGTAGAACATAAGGTTGACAAAAACCCGGGGACTGCGCTTACCTGATGAGCCCCAAAAAACGGCGAAACCGGTCGTGGGCTGTCGACGAATTTTCAGCAACCTTATGAGTAGTACATTACAAAGATATACATGTATCGCGGCATCTCGAATATCGTGACGACTGAAACATGAGGCGGCCTGGTGCAGCACATTCGGTTGCCGGGAAACATCACAAACGAGAGATTCAGCTGGGTTCCAGGTGGGTCTCTCGAAAAACCAAATTTGTTTGCAAATGACTGAAATCATCACTGTGTTCCACCGTCAACCAACCTGGAAGTGGTAGGACATTGAAAATTCTGAGGCCATCTGGTCAGTTGCTTGAGTTTCCTTAATTACAACAGACTTGAGCTGTTTTTAGTTGTTCTACATCACATGACTGGTCTCACATGTTCATCACAAAAATTGGGTTTATTGACTAATCTAGATAACAGCGATAGCTGAGACATACCCATAAGTTGCTAAGCAACCAAATCAATATACCACAATATGCCGAAACGAATGGAATCAATCTGTGTGATGACATTTGTCGTGGTCGGAACAACGAAAAGATTAGTCCTGAGTGATTGGAATTCAGAGAACTGACGAACTTTAGGAAGGCAAACACCAATCAAACTCCACGCCCAACTGATTAGTTCAGCAACATCATTAATAGCCTGAGTTGGTCTGGATTCACCGCAGAACGCACTGGTGAACAAAACCTTATGGAAAATGTGTTCCAAAGAGACAAAACTGAGGAAACAGCGCTTTTCGAACTGGGGTCAGGGTCAGCGAAGAAACTCGGGTGGTATGGTGACAGAGCCAAACCATGTGTCTCCAAAAAGCTCTAAACGACCGTATACCGCATCCAGGCACATGCTTAGAAATAACTTTCAAGTTAACCAAGTGAACACGAATCCACAGGGTCGAATCTCCGGCGGTCACAATTTCAGAAGATGCAATAAAGTAATCAGACAGAATGATATAAATTATAAAGGTCGGCTGTAAACCATCCACCTCGCTTATATGGAAACCCTATAAAACAAGACCTTTCTTATCTAGACGTAACATACTACTCATGAAACTCATGCTGAAAACTATTCGACAGCCCATGACCGGTTTCGCCCCTCTTGGGGCTCATTAGGTAGACACAGTCCCCGAGTTTCCGTCAACTTTATGTCCGACTTGAAACCAAATTGGATAGCTCTCGACTCTCATTTTGGCTTTGACAGGGTACTTAACTGAATCTAGGTGAATCTCTAGTTCTTTTCAGATGGTTCGCTACAGGAAAAC